CTGAGCTTTTGATACTACTCTGTCATTTTGAGGGAGACTGTTTATCTACAATCATGCGTAGACAGCTTTGGATTCGAGAGTGTTAAGTTCAAACCAGATACAGTAGAAAACTAGAACACTTGCAAGAAAACTAGAACCTTGCATGCCACTATTGATTCAACAGAACCGCATAGCTCTGTCTTATATTTGACCACAGTTGAGCCCATCTACGCATAGTTGCAGACAAAGAGTGAAGGGAAATTCTGGATTGTCACTTCAGATATTTTGATCTGCTGAAAAAGGCTTTAGTAGGAGAGTTCAGTCAACCTGCTATTCAGAAACGCGAGATATTAGTGCGATCTTTTTGCTCTTATGTATTCCGATGGGACAAAAGAAGTTATGAAACTATGCAAACTTTAGAAAAAGATGGAGCCACCAATTGTATGAAAACGACTTTTTTTTTTCATTTCTCACTAGCCACTCTAGTCTCCATAGGCCTCGGAGATAGTTCGCTTACTTGAACATTCTTCTCATAGCAAGCAAATTTGCCGAAAAGAAAGAAAGCTATACAGTGAAACGACATTTGCTCTTTTGCTTTGAGGTTAGAAAATGCCAGGTGCAATGGACAATGCATGTTTCTTCCTGAAAATTTGTACATGTCAGTGTCATAGTAGAGATCGGTGTGTGGTACAATCTTGCTTTAAGTTAGATCCTTGTAATTGATGTAACGTTGGACCTTTGGCATTTCTGCTAGCTGAAAGGGCAACCAGGTGTAGTGAACAAAGTTAAATCTATGATGGGAGTGATAGGTGGTCCCTTCTCTATAATGCAACCAATTTCATAATCTGGGAATTTGATTTCTTTTTTGTCACTAAAGTGTTACGGCATTCTTTTCCTAAATATGCTTGGAACACACTCTGTCCCGGCCTCAGTTTGTGCTATAAGACACAAACTGTTATTAGTGCTTGTGCCTTGGTTTTTATTTTTTCTATTGGTTTGTAATCGTTCTCTCTTTTTTAATGCTTGCATCACGCTGCTTCTGTGCTATCATGAAGCCCTCGAGGTTTGTTACTGTAATTTTTTTTTTGACAATACCTCACTAAGAGGTCAGACCTGTAACCATCACCGTGCCATTGTCACTCTTTCCTCATGCATGTCTGACTGCTGCACCGTATCTCTTAGGAGCTTCCAAAAGTCTGTTTTTTCAAGAATAAATGCCTGTTAATTATTTGAGCATATAAAATGTCCTTACCTGCAGACTGATCACTCTGATATCTGGCTGTGGGAATTCGACACGACAAATTTCTGGCATCTTTATCCGCCGCATTATTCCGGCCAGTTGATCAGTTGCATTGGTACATGGAGATGCTGAATATGACGACAGATTACCCATTGTTCATGAACAGAGCATGTTCAGAAACAGCCATAATTGAGTGGAATAATTTTGCTGTGACGTTGTGCATACGTACTAGCTGATGGCTGCTATGCTTTGTTCTTGAGCAGTGCACTTCCATTATTCAGTAGTTGTTTTAACTTTATGTTGAGACATATCACATATGGACAGTGTTCTGATTGCCCTTTTCCTGAACAACTATTGCAGTAGGTTTCCTGACGGGCACCGTCTACTTGCCCAGTTCAATGGTTCTGCTACTCTACAGACTACAGTAGCCGATGTGAAGTGTGCAATCCTTGAGCTGCCCAGGCATCAGCCACGAACCCATGAGGAGCATGCCGGTGAAGTACGGCGGAGGTGCAGGAGTTCGTCGGATCTTCTCAAGATGAATCTCTAACCCTTCCACTTCAGAGTTGGATCACAGGTACACGCACCATGTCCTCAACTGAAGAAAAATACAGTTATCTTTTTCAGAGAATGATACTAACCAAAGAATTTCTGCTACCTTTAACTCTGGTAATTATCGCATAAAAAGGAAATATTTTAAAAAAAAAATTACACGGATCTCCATGTAAGGTCTAACGAATATAGCATCGACTAAGACTTCGTTAAATCTCAGTCGACCGAGATTTAGCAATCCCGATGACATTATTATTGGCCAAGTTGAATATAGTGAATTAGGATTGCCATGAAACATAGTATTTTCTTTATTTATACGTTTCTTGCCGACATATATTCGTATGAAAGGCAACGTTAAATGCTGATGGCAAGAGCCGTTGAGAATAACAGAAATGCAGACTCTGGCATGGACAGGCCACTAACAACACATAGCTTTCTCTTTCTCCGGGACTATGATAGGTTTCGCCGGTATTGCGGCATGCACATCCTCGTGGTCCTGGGCGGCAAAGGCTAACCGGAATCTGGAACCTCCGCGCTCGACCTCTGAAACCCTTCAATTATATCGCCCATTTGCAGCTGCAGAATCTGAATACTTGCGCAAAGGCGGAACGCGGACATGACACGCCCGAAAGCGCGGCGGCGTCCATGCCGTCGACCTCCGCGGTCACCACCGCGCCCCAGCGGAAATGGAGGACACAGAGACCCGAAAGCGACGCCGCCCGCGGTGCCGCCACTTTCACCCCGCACGAGCAACAAGCTGTAGTAGCCAGCGCCGGTGCCTCCGCCGTGGTTAGTTATTACCGCTGCCGCTTCGCCGGGACGAGGAGAGAAACGAGACAAATGGGAAAGCAGGGAGCGAAAGCGAGGGCACGGAAAGGCACCGAGCTAGGCCGGCCGGCACACGGGGCGCCCACTTCACCGGCCCTGCGTGCGTGCTTGGTCGCGTTGGATTTGCATGAATCTTGCGCGGAGCCCCACCGCCTCGCAAAGTCGCAAGTTGCGCTGCGCCGGGGTGCTTTTGGCCCCTCGGCGCGTGGCTGGAGCCAGTGCCAGTGCGCGCGGCACCGGGAGGCCATGGGGCAGGCCATGATGGCGGCGGCAGAGCAGCAAGGGCCGGCCGGCCGGCCGCTAAAGAAAGCCAGATGGTTAGCGGCAGAGGGGACACCAACCACCTCCTCCCCGTGGGATTCAGTTCAGAGACTGGTAGCTCAGGTCTATCTGATGCGGAGCTTTGAGACGCTGATGATGAGGTTTTAGCTAGTCCTGCTTAGTTTTCAGGTCCGCTTTTTCGGCGTTGTCGTGGCCGGACCAGGCGGCCCATTGGCCGGCTCGCCGTATTATTATAGCCGGTAATGCGATCTGGGGACGCTGATGGAATTGGCCGGGCAGTGGGCGAGGGCGAAT